GCTCAGACTCTGGCACAGGATCGGGAACGTTGGAAGCACTGTCTGACGCGTCTCCTCCGCGACCCGAAAGAAGAAGCGGCGATGGAAGATGAAGATGAAAATAACTTCGAACGTCTTGCGTTTCCTCTACGACCCAAACGACCGACGGAGACGTGTTCAGACCACCCAAGAAGCAGCTGCAGTTCGTTTTGAAGTTCTTCCGCCTGTCTATCGACCGCTTGGTTTAGTTGAGCAAACGCCAACGCCGTTGTCATCTTCGCTTTCAAGGCACAACTAGCTTCGACGTTGTAAACACCAAGTAAATGCAATTCGCCCAAATACTTCTTCATACTGTAATTCAGATGGTAAAAACAACCATGAAGTTGAACACCTGAGAGCGCATTTTTCCTTATGTGCAGTGGTGAATTTTGAAATCGCAAACGATGAAATCCGGAAGAGTTCTGGCACCCTGCTTTCATTATTGGAAGAGCCGCCTGTTGTATCGCACCCTGCTTGTTTGACAAATGTACATATGCAAAGAATCTCTACCACCTGAATCCTTTCTGCCAGCTCTGTATAAATTTGCGAAAACAGTGGCGGAGCAGTTCGGAATGTCTTCATCTTCATCTTTATCTTCGCCGCAGACTGCGTTCTAACGTATTGATATCGCACAGTCGTCACAGTGGAATTACATCGTACTTCATAAAAGGCTATTCATTGGTAACTTCATGAACTGGATTATCGTTACACAATTCGTGCAGTTAGCCACTGTTCAGTTACACGGCTGCAATGGGCCGGGTGAAGGACCAAGCGCTGACAGCAGCCGGCAGTCCGCGCCAAAACGGTCTGCGATAACACGACAATAGACGGTTGTTAATTGGCAACGTTATAGTATATAGCTTTAATTCTAGCCCCTTCGGCTTTGGAACTGGACTAAGACAAGGCTGTGTTCTGTAGTGTCTCTTGTTTGTGTAGTGCATGGCGAGAGACGTCCTGCAAGGCGAATTCGACGAATGTATAAATGTAGGAGATGTCAAAAGTAGGGCGTTGCTATTTGGAAACAACTGTTTTACTGACATCTGCAGCGCTCAGTGGAAAGGTTCGAAGCCGAGTGCGACGTGGCTGGCTAGCGTGCGAAAATGGTGAAAACGAAAAACATTGTGCTTTCTCGTTTTTCTGCCTGTTCCGCTTTAGAGATAAATGGGAAAGCAGTGGACCAGGTGGAGAAGTTATCGAAACTTTAGGTCGTGTTTTCTGGTAATGAAAAATGGGAGGACGAGAACGACCGGCGAATTGGAATTGGCGGTGAGGTCCTGAATGAACCAGGCCCAAACCACGGTGATTAGACTATTGCTGTGTCTGAAGGCTAAAATCTCTGCGCTGAAGTCGATCTTCATCCCGATGTTCATCCACGGCCATGAGTCGTTAACCATGACTGAAAAACTTCGATCCGACGTACAAACGGCTGTAAAGGGCCTTCCGACACGAATCGCTAAGCTCACGCACCTCGTCATTGTCCGATGCACGGATACCCGAGAGAGTCCTGGTGTACAGCCGATGCATTTGCAGCTTAAGAAGTCACAACTATAGTCGTTTGGGTGAATTTTGCGACCGTTTTCAGTAAGGAAGACGAAACAGCTACTACTTGTTCAACTGACCGGTCAAGAACCATTGGAGGCCAGAAATTACTTGAGGCGTGTTTATCGAACGACTCTGCTTCATACTCAGGTTATGTTCTGCCAAAGTTCAAACGCTGGCACATGATAGTGAACGTTGGAGGCACTGCCTTATGCGTATTCAGCAGGGATGCGAAATGGTAAACGGTCATTAAAACTGACGGACTGATTTGATCAACAGATTTCTGTTTTCTACGGCACAAAGATGGGTCTGTGTGTTCCTCGCCTGAAGGATAACCGACAGAAGTCAAGAATTACAAACCGGTTATCCTGAGGTAACACCGAATCGGTCGTCTAAAAACACAATGCAATTATCCGATGATGAAACTGCTTGTCAGCGGCGAAGGCAAAAGGTTATGAAGAATAGAAAAGCTGGTGGATTATGAACTTACGTTGATGGCGTACCGATAAGGAAGACTAGTCGGATAATTCGAGCTGAATAGATGGACATGGGCTCTACGTTTGAGACAATTCTTCTAACAAAGGACTGAGAGAAGTGAGTAATGCAGCTTTAGCTTCTACGCATAATGAGAGTTAAGTGATCTGACCACGCAAATAATAGTTCTATTCTGCTTCAGGTACAGGTAACCTCAGTACGTGCGGAGATTGAAAAAAGGAGTTTAGTCTTATGAGACAAAGTGATTAAACATAAATGATGTCCTAGAGCCCATTAACTTCTTGCATAGACGAAGGAGGCTAACATGCAGCATGGAAGAACAAAGTATGGGTAGAGAAACGTTTCTTTCTACTATGCAGTAACTCTTTCCCTTTAACAAAAATGTTCAAAAGCGACGTTTGCACGGATGTCACAAAATCAGAGACTTTCTGCTTATGCAAACGACTCAAAGTGATGGTTTAAACACTTTAATTTAACTACGAACCAAAAGGGTCCTCTGCTCACTATCCAAATCTTATCATCGCAAACAGCAGAACATGATATTTCTATGTGGGTTGAAGCACAAAATATACGGGATAAGTTTCTGTCGCTCAGAAGTATTATGTGAATGCATTTGCTCCCGCATCAAATAATCGGCAAGTACGGAAATCTCCTTCTGGTGATTCACCTCCGCGGGCAATGATTAAATGAATCATCCAGAGTCAGTCGGCTGTAGAATGGAACTTCTTCGCTGAACCGAAATTACGGCCGTAGAAGACAGACTCAATGTAATGGCGACGTACATCGATTAGCAAGGCAGCTATGGAAATGTTTCCTCCTCTGGTCATAGTTCACTGATGTCTTGCCATGTTTAGTATTGGCCTGCATAGCTTACCGATCAATTACACTCATTTACTTGCATAAATCAGTATTCGAAAAATTGATCGGGTTGGCGCATTGCCAGGATTATTTCTAGGTGGATATTGATCAGAATGGTCACGTGTAAGAAAGAGGAAGTCGCTGCTGATCAATGGTTAGAAATAACCAATGAAAATGTTGAATGGGATATCCTACCTCTCAGATTGGCTGGCTTACACGTTCTGGATAGCGTCCGCCAGGACGCGGCGCAGAGCTCATTGATCAAACAAATCGTCCTCATAGCGACGTTAGCAGTCGTCTTAAGTAACTTCGCGCTTGGCGAGATTTGCCTTAGTAGCATCTGTCTGCGCGGCCAACCGCAAGAGTGTGTTTTTCCTCTACCCACCGACTAACTTCACTTACAGTCTGTTATCTTCTCAGAGTGACCACTGTCCATCTGCCGTCCAATTCGCTCCAGTTCGTCGGCCGGACTTCGCCTTTGGCAAGTGGTCGTTACCGTTCGATGAAAGGAAGAAAGCTGTTTTCGTCTGATGATGCCCAAGCATTTTTGCAGAAGGTATGACAACGTCGCTGCTCGACGAACTGCTCTTGTACTCGCTTGCTGGCGGTCATTATCGATTGATAATGTTGAGTTGCGTGCGCTTCCTCACTCATCGTCAAAGTACGCACGCACGAGAAGAAAATATTGTGCTGTTCTGCTGCTGTTTTCCACTTTTTCTCTGTTTTTTCCTTTTCAGCTTTCACCTATCTGCTGTTCTACCTGGCATTCTTTTATCGCTGTTGAAGCGAGATGTAGATGTGCAGGTTCCATAATGCTGTATGACAACTTCATTTTAAGAGCTGTTACTCGGCGCAGTTTTGAAATTACTTGTTTGCTTATGGTTCACAAGCATTTTTCTTGCAATCATGGGCATCACAAGGTCACTTTCGTTTTATTTCCATCTTTTTCTGTACCGTCCATTTTATGGGAAAGTTGGTTTAAGGTGACTTCACTGCGCGCTTCATTTCCGAGATGCACTGTTCACCCTCATACATTAATAGCGTCTGTTGCATCTAGCATCTGCTGCCGCCGTTAAGCAGTGTACGCACGTCCATTAATTGCAAAATCAATTCCGTTGAGCTAAGACTTTTTTCGTTTTTGTGGAACCAAGTGCAGCAGTCTGGGGGGAGTGGTGAAGCTTTTATGAAATGTGACTTCGGTCGGAAGTTCGCAAGGACTTCATGAATGCCACTCGCCATGGCACAGGAACTTCTCTTGACCCTTTGCTACTCTGGCTAGATATTGGTACGTTCATCCCGTCGCCGACGAGTTAAAAAAGCAGCTGAATTCCGCTGGGCATTTCGTATTCGATATTTTGCGGACAGCAGCTCTCCTGTCCTGTAGTTTCCAGCAGGAGTAAAATCATCCCTCCACATATGCACTGAAAAGTCTATGCAACTAGGCTCTAGCGTAACTTCATCGCGCCCTCACCTGCCGTTGCACGCGTCGTTTTCAATTCACCCGCTGCGCGGCTGTGCACCCGGCTGCTGGTTGCTACGTAACGAGCTGCCAAGCGATGATGTTTTAGTAACCTCCAATTGGCGACAGCAGTGGCGAACCATTTTTACGTTTTGAGACAGTCGTATCTGCTGTCCGGTCTTTGACCTGCCTCGTAGAAACTGGATTTGATTAATCTTGCAATTGTAATTTATTTTTTGTCTCTGATAACTACGAGAGGGTATCCCGAGGCAGTGAGGTATGCGAACTTGGAAATCCGCAGTTGATGTCGTATACTGCTATAGATTTCTAATTTGATTTAACGGAAGCTTGATCGTGTTGCATAGTTAATGAAAAACATGTGACGTCGTTCTCGTTGTAGGTGCACTGTGAAAATGGCCATCATTTGAAATCCCAATATCTGTCAACAGCTGACCTTTACGAGCTGAGTTTGAGTTTAGCACATGTCACGATGTCGAAGAGCTATGATAGTAAACAAACGAAGCAGGAAAGTATGTTGTGTTCATATAGTGCGTGAAAACTAGAATATTTTTTCCAAGCGTTCTTCCTCAGTGGGTAACAGCAGCTAAATTGTAAATTGCTTAATGACGATGGCATCATTTGCATTTACATTGCTTTATACACTGAGGTTGATTCTTTTATGCGGGAATTTAATTCAGAATTTCAACAGATCCCTTACGGGTTACGTTACAGTATTTGTGAAAAGTAAGCTATTATTTGCTGCCACAGCTGGAACACGTATTTTACATCAGTCAATCAAACTTGTTTGCTTGAATAACCGCATTTATACTCAGCACAGAATGTTTCCGCC